GGAGGAGAGGAGGGGGGAGTGGAGTGGGGGAGTGGAGTGAGGGAGTGGAGTGGGGGAACTGGCCTAGCTCGAGTGACTTCTGTGACTCGTTTCGCGGGCCAACCCGAGCTCCCACCTGACTTAAGTGACTTGTAGAGGCTCAGGAAAATCCGTCTCCCCGGAGAACAATAGCATTCCTGAGCTTTGTGACTTATTTGTGACTTATTTGCGACTCGTGTGACTAGTTCTTTCGCCTCGGGGTTTGTCCGATTTTGAACCGCCTGTAATATTTCATAAACGTGCGTGTTGTTTTCTTTCTTCGTAACGTTAACCAAATGTCTCCGCAGACGACGTCTCGAGGATTCAAATTGTCTCTCTTCTTTTTTGAGAGAATCGGTCCTCAGTGGAGCTCGCGCCTCTGCCTTTCGCCTCTGACTTCCGGCCGGTACAACTGGTCTGGCTCACAGAGATGTTTTCTTTTCCGCCGACCCCGCGAGTGGCGCTGCCAAATGAAAGGATGAAGTAACCGCGTCGGGGACACGGTGTGTTACGCCTCTGTCCATGACAGAAATTTGGCGAGCGGTGATGTCACAATTAGGTGGGAGTTGCCAGAGAAAACGGTGGGTTACGGACAATATTTCGCTTTCCATGCGTGCGAGGTTTCTGGTTGTGTGTTTTGTTTTTTCATCTTTTTTGCTGCTCTCAGAATAATTTTTTCTTACTTAATTGGATATCGCGTGCTGAAAAATAATGAAGAGCGATGGGTCACAAACTACACAGTGAACAACAAAGCAGGACACTTTCCCTGCTCCTTTTTCCAATCCGATTTATACCCCACCTCAATTTTGTTCCGAGCCGGTGGTTTTTGTTGTTTTTCATCCCTGTTTTTTGTTGTTTGCCGCTTGTGTCCACGCCTCTGAGCTGACGCCTCTGACCTGTCCCACCTGGTTGTTGTGCCCCCGGCAGGTACTTCCCCTGGTCTTGGGAGGACCCCTCATGCGCGTCCACCAGTAAGTACCTCTCCTGGGAGCGCCCACGCTACGACTACTCCATGGCCCCCTGGGCCTGCGAATACCCGCTGTCCTACCGGTACCTGGGCCACCACAAGCACTCCTACGACTCCTGCCGCCCCATCCGGAGCTACACGATCCGCTACTGCCCATGTACGTTTGCCAACGGTGGAAAATTTACGATCAGGGAAAATAGTACAACCTTGTCGGCGAGTAGTTGAAAATTTGCTACATAATTTCCGAAGTTTCCTCTCGTATTTTGCTTCTCTCTCTCTCCATTCGATGCATGACGTTGGTCCCGACCAGTGGCTGTGCCTGCATGGCGCTTGCATGACCAGTTTGGCCCAGTGCCGAGGCAGCAGCGAAGCAAGCATTCCTGTTCGAATGCTGGCGAGACATTTAGCTAATTTGTCATTCGCTTTCATTACCGCCAGTTTCGGCTCCGCTGCTGTTTCAACTCGTGGCATTTGCTCCCTCGATTGATTTCCCTTCACGAGTGTTACCTCCGCTTTTATGAAATTTTGTGTAAAAACTTTTTTTTCTCTATGCTTTCATCATAATTCGTTAAAGTTAAGTTAATTTGTTCAAGTAAAGTTAATTCATAGTTAACTTAGTATTGCGCTGTACTGAGCACCCTGTTACGAACTAGGTGTCTGGGTGATAAAGGGTGTCAAAGTAAACACTGCTGTCAGCACTTGTGCCGACACTCCACGGGCTAAAAGAGTTTCGGAAGTGGGTGGGTGGGGGTGGGGGAGCAAAGGGTGGGATGGCTACTGGCTACGTGGGGGACATACGTCATAACGTAACAATGGCTAAGTACTGCTCGCGGCGACGAAACCCGTCATCAGCTGTAATTAGGATCTGTCGACTGATCGGTTGCCTGGTGTTGCAAAACCCAGGCTCCGTGAGTTGACCCGCCTAAACAGATGATCGGGTTTTGCGCGCACCTCCTCCGTTTACTAATCCGATGCATCAGCTGCCCTGTTCGCGTGCCCAGCGTGTCTAACGCCACTCTCTGTGTGCGTCGCCCGCAGGTTTCTCGCGGACGGTAGTGTAGTGGACAACCCCTACCTGAACCGGTCGCCGCGCCAGGTCGCCGGCGACATCCTGACCGGCAGTCTCAAGGTCCTCCAGGAGTGCGAGACGACGGCGCAGGTGCGACACGCCCTGAGGACGGCCAGGAAGGACCTCAACCACTACTTTAACCCCATCGAGGACAAGGAAGACATCGAGGACAGAAAGAAGGAGAAAGCGAGACAGAGACAACTCCTGATGAAGACACAATTGCTGTTCAAGTGATTTCCCTCCCCCTTTACTGCCCCTAACAAGCCTCTCCACCCCATCCCTCAACTACCCGCAATTGTAAATATTTTGCCCTTTTTTCGCCGAATAACAA